CTGCTAAATTAGGGACGGCTAGCGCAGATAGCCCTCGTGTAGCTTTGCGCGAAATTCAAAAACAAACATTTAGAACTAACTTATGAAAGTGTTGAAGGCCTCTGAATATTTACATGGAAAGATCACCTTTGCTCAATTTCTGTTAAATAACTAAAACATTTGTATTATTGTAGTTTGCAATTACTAATATGTATGTGTCATTTAGTTCCCATTATTAACAAAGTTCATACTGTTATTGTGATATGGCCCTTTACTGTTTTCAAAACAATAAACTGAGAAAATATTCTCTAGGTTAACCCTACTGTTAAAAAACATTAATTACAGATAATAATGCCTTGTGCTTGCCTCCAACAATAGAACAATACCTATTTCTGTACAAGTTGTTTTAACAGTACCTAAGCTATAATATTTCTATGCAGAAACTTCATAAATTGTGTTCCTTTTTTTGTGAATAACTACATTAATGTATATTATGTACTGAACTAAACATATTCAAAATCCACAGATTAACACCAATTATGTAGGGGGACACTTTTTTGTTTACTTTTTTGCACAAGTACTTGGTGCAAGATTTGTAATACATTACTCATATTTGAATACCTTTGCAATAATGGAACAAAAGTGTAACTTGACCCAGGTCACTGTAAGGTTAAATCTTGGTTTGTTTAGTTGTTTAAAATAATTAAAGAGTCATGAGCCCATCGGTGTTTCTAATAAAATTTACAACTCTTTGTATGACAATCTACCCAGGATTGATCCAAGACTGCTAATGAATTTGACAAATGTAAATGAAATGAAATAAATTATGACACCAAAATGGCAGGACAGCTCAACTTATTGTTGTGGTGAAGTTGATATGATAAATAAAAGTTGTTAAGATAAGCTACATGTTTTACTGAAATTAATACATTCATAAACAGAACAGTCTAAGTCATATGTGGAAATAAAAATATGAATGGTGAAACAAACTATCAAGTCTACCTAACCCATCAGTTTACATGATACTAAGATACTTAAAAGGAAAAAAAATGTCACAAAAAGTTTTGTTACAAATGTTATTAAGTCATTTGAGAACTGTGTTGTTGAAGGTGATGTGAGAAAGAAAATGTTAGATCAAATTTAGTCATAAGTGCTAAAAAAAAGAAATGATGGAGAGAAAAAATTAAACTTAAAAATACAAAAGGCAAAAATGTTTAGCTTTAGTCTTGGGTTATGTAAATGTGTTAAACAATGAAATGTCAGAACAACAATACTCATGGGTACTAAAAACAAATGGTAATACAGTAACTGTCATGCTTGTTAAAGTAACATGATACAGAAAACAGGTAAAGTTACTGGAACATTTGTAGTATTGAAATTTATATAGCAGTTGAAAGTCTTTTAAAACCATGTGTTGCTGGAGATGGTACAAATGATGTTAAACCTTATTAAGCAGTATGTAACAATATTAAAGAATACCAAGAAAGTTTGATTCTCTTTCAAAGCAGAATTGTTTTTAAGTTCTAATTGATTGAAAGTATGAGCAATATGTAATCAACACAAAAGCCTTCAAGTAAGATAAGACTGTCAGATTGTAACCTTTCTAAAATTTTTTGATGAAACAAATTTGTAATGAATAACTAAGTACTCAAATCTCAGTCCACAAAGCTGGTAATTCATTAAATAAATTGTAAATGAAGACTTGCAAAACCTTAAAAAAACTGCTAACATCTACACCAAATTCTTAAGCTGACTTTTTATTATTATTAACTTACGTTACAGAAATCTTTGGTTAACTGAATTTACACAGACTTGGTCCAATGGACCTACCCCATATTGGAGAAGGAATATTAAATATAATTCTGAACATTCTATGTGTATCTACACAGAATATGGCAAGCTTTAAGTAAAATGTACAAATCTGTTGTACACAGAATCTCAGATGGGTTACAACAGTATGTATACTCAAGATATATCTGTGAATTGATAACATCAGTCTCATTGAAACTGAAAAGTTGGAGTGTAAGGTGATGCTGGTGTGAAGGCTAAAAAATACTTTTGTCCATGGTGCACTTTTCATATTGTATTTTCAAAACCTCGGAAATTTATATGTACAGTTTAAGTATCCTTGTATATTTTATCTGGTATGTATTCTACAATGAACGGTCACTAAATCAGCTGTGTGTAGGGTAAAAATGAAGAGTTTATAACTCTGACATCAAATTACGTAATACCATGTTGAGTGGCACTCGGTAACAGGTAATGACATGCATTTTTTGAATCCCACCCATGTGCATAAGGTTAAATTTCTCTGTTAATAGTTCATAACATTTTATCAGGAAATCTTGACTACAAGAACCAAATTATCCTAGTCTTGGGGGCAAAGGTATTGCATTCAGGTCCTGTTTGTCTGTGTTTCCACGCACACTTCACCAAAAGTAATTGACTAATACACATGAAAATGTTACACAAAATGGGAAGGGAAGTCAGTATGGACAATCCTTTCCAAATTTGGATCACTTTGAAGCATTTTTTTATAATGGGCACACTAAGGTTTAGACACCTCATCACACTACAAATAAAAATTCACCGGATCGTTGATCCTTCTTATATGAGAAGAATTTTCTGAGTTTTCAAAGGTGAAATTTGGTGTTATACAATATAAACAATCTCGAAAAAGAGCAGTGGGTATTGCAATATCTCTGATTACTCTTGTTTAAGTTCCAACTATTAAGCGTATATTGATAGTAGTTAACTGCGTTTCACAACTGATAATGAAAAGATATGGACTCGGTTTATAAGTTGGATTTTAACACAGAAACCACATTTTTTTGGAATGAACAAGTCTTAATGGCGACATTATACGAGAATGTGTGTGGTCGCCCGAATAAGCGCCAGTACCACCCGCTAATAAGCCAAACGTCGGGCGAAAAGCCACAACGATTATTTTCGGAGGGCTCTAAGTAACTAAGACGCGTTTCATAGATCAATATTTCTTGATCAGATAAGATGCTTACAAAAGTATTTAAGATGTAGGTTGTTTTTATAAAAAGAAATGGGTGTTTACTGAGCTTTCTGCACCATTAGAATTTTATTATTAATTGTGTAGGTTCGTTCCTTTATATGTTAGTGATAAACGGGAATAAAGCTATTTATAATCATCTGAATTTATGTGTGTGTGTATATATACTTGGAGAATCTATTAATTTTTCACTTTCTTATGATATCCACGAGTAAGTTGTATCTCATAATTAATGAACTTTCATATTGAAATAAAAGTGGCAAATAATGCCGAGAAGTTTCAGGTTGTTCAACTTGTCATTTTCGTTACGTATTATTAGTTCCCTCAATTTTTTTAAGTACAGTATTTTTCTAATTCTGACATTTGTATAACCAATAAAAAAACGTATCTATATATATATACAAGGGAAAAACCTCTTGCATACCTTTAAGTCAAAGGCTTGGTCAACTATGCGATAACATTAACAGGACTATCAATGTTTTATCGCCCTTTCTTACCCAGTTATCGAGAAAACGTGTTTTGGATGAGAAGTATATCTTCGATTAACAATATCGTATTATTTCAGATTGTAATGGTTTTAACACTGATACGATACAAGGAAAACTTTTTAATATAAATGTTTATCTTATTTCCGAACAAATACGTTTAAAACATAAACTGGCTATTGGTTGGAAAACCGTGAATCTGAAAACGTAAATAATAAAACCAAGCATGCGAAACGTGTCTAGATTTTTTTATTTTTTTTTACCATAAAACATGTTTAATAATTGTTGGGAACTTGCTGCGACAATACTTTTCTCCCACAATGCACTGGTCAGTAAGAATTGATTACGATATTGGCATACACATATTTCGGTAAATATAGGTGATTAATGAAAAGTACGTGGAAAGTGTATGAGGTAGCCTATTAACACTAGTCTAAAGTTTCCGATGGTAATAAATACGTAATAAATTAGTAGGTAATTGTGAAAGACAAATAGACTTACAAACGCTTAACGTTATTATATGTAA